AGCTATTTCAGAAATGACTTCCAATCCTGGTTTTGCAACAACCTAGGGCAACCTGACTTATTTCAAGGAGTGTTACAAAACTCTCAAAACAAAACTAATTTTAGACTTAGTTAAATTTCAATAATGAATATTGAAAGGACATGTGCAGAGCTGCCCTGGCAGCTTTTCTAGCCAACTTACTGTGTTAGCTCAGAGCTTGGGTACTTTGGGGATGATGTAATCTCTAGGCACTTGTAGGCTGGCCTCACATGACTCAGCACTGAAGGGTTTGCTTGCAAGGGGATAACTTGAGAGAGAAAAAGGCAAGTAGGTTAGAAGGGAGGAGAGGAGCCCCAAGAGCGAGCAATCACAGTTAAGTAGGGAGCTTGAGTGGTTTCCCTCACAGGCAGAGGCTTTAGTAGCTGGAGGCATATTTCCTCCCCATTGTCCCATTTCTTGAAGCAGGTTTACATAACCGACTTCCTCCCCTCCCCTGCCAATTTGGGTGTAGGTTAGGATGTCTACTAGAAAAATCACCTGAAAGCCTCCACCCATATTTAAGCTACCCACCTCCAACTCCAGCCATAATTACAAGTAGAGGCTTGCATTAGGAAAAACAAATTATTTTTTTAGAAGTTATTGTATTTCCTCTACTTGGGAGTTTAAACTCTACTTTATTTCCTTCTTGATTTTTTAAAGCAGATTTTTCCTTTATTAGTGGTACAAGATCAGAAATAAGTATACTTTGAAATTTTTACTTTTTCTTTTCTTGAATTTTCTTTTTTTTTTAACTGTTTTATGTCATTACCCCTTTAATTCTTTTGACTTTAGAGCTCAACTTAATTCAGTGGTTTTGATATTATTTAGATATCCATTTCCTATTGAATTTTATAATTCTGACACATACATTTGTTGTTTTGAAATACACTTTCATTTCCTTTTTATCCTATTTTGTTTTCTTTTTCTCTCTCACTGAAGTTTTCCAGTTTGATGTTTTTTGAATACTGTTTCTAATTTTGTATTTCATTTGTTTTATTTCTGCTTTTTTTTCCTTCTTCCTCTCTTTATGCTCTTTGTGTCTCATTTCACCGGTTCTAATAAATCCCTTTGTTACGTTTGCATATGAAGGTTGGTTATTTGATGGTGCTAACTGGAACATTCTTACTCTCCTACCTGGGGATGTGCAAATGGAATGTTGTTGTTCCTAATTTGCATACGCTCTATGGTTTCTTGATAAACATCAATTGTTCAGAATATGGTTTTAAAGTCTTATTTCAGTAAAAGACTATAGCTAGGTCAATTACATATTACAATCAGTCAAATACTCTCATTATCAATCAATGTTATGAAAAGGTAAATGTTGCATGTAAAATAAACTATTGTTTACTACGTAATGATGTAGGCAGGGAATTATTAATCTTTGGAGTTGGCCATAAATATGAAGCTACAGATAATACAAAAATATCAAAGGACACAACAACTGACTTTGTAAGACTGATCCATAAGCATTTTACAATGCCTTGTCCTCCTCAAGGTAGATGTCTTCTGGTAAACCAGGCCAGGGAATGAGCTCATTCTCTTTGTGGTATGCCTTCTGATGCAGGAACTCCCACCTGACACTAGTTAGTTCCAACCAACCAAGAGAACCAAAGTCTCCAACCCCTTCAACTCATGAAGGTGCTTCCAAGATTAGACACATACATCTCAGAATCATTGTCCAATCCCCTATGATCAGGCAAAGAAAAGCAAAACAAAAGAGGCAGCCAGAGGCCCAATGCTCAAGCTACCACATGGAAATAGTACCTGTTTAACCAAGGTTGGGAAAGGCCAAGCCTCCTTCCCCACCCTGCCAGGGAAGGGCCTAGACTAATCCTGACTTAACTGATCATCACATGGGAAAAGAAGAGGTTGACAGCAGGGTCATTCCTTTCTAAAGGCCCACTAAGTCAGTGGCTCTTCCTGTTCAGCAGCCAATAAGAGAATGGCTTCATTATACACACAGTGCCTTAGTCTTTCAGTACTGAATCACACATGTCTGGCCCAAAGCAGCTAGGAGCCTCATCATTCCCAAAGAGGCCAAGCCCTGAGTTAGCACACACAAATGGCCAGAAACAGGCAGGATGGCGATGCTCATGCCCTGTAACAAATGTAATACTGTCCAAGAGGTATCCATGCCACAGGACTGAATAATAAAGTGAATATATTTATTATGTACATCCAGCAATAAACTCTTTCAATACCTTGTGACACAGGGCAAGATCTTTTCTCAGATTTTACCCTTGACTATCCTTATACTTCCTTCATATATTTAGTATGATCTATTCTATATTTTAGCTATGTGTAGCTGTATTACAGCTTACCAACTATTAAGCTCCATGAAGGCATTTTGGTATATATAACAATAATAATAATAATAAATATTAGCCAGCATTTGTATAGTGCTTTACGGTTTGTAAAGCGCTTTAGAAATATTATATCATTTTATTTTCACAACAATTCTAAAAGGTGGATGCTATCATTACTCTCATTTTACAGATGAAGAAACTGAAGCAGACAGGTTAAATGACTTGCTTAGGGTCACACAAATATTAACTATGTGAAGCTGGATTTGAATTCAGGTTTTCCTGACTCTAGGTCCAGTCATCTAGATCCCTCCTTCATGATGCTTAACATACAGTAGGCACTTAATAAAGGGTTGTTGATTTAAAGTAACAACCTCATAGGACAAATTTTGGAGCAAAACAAAGGAAGGCTAGCCTATTTTCATACCAAGAAAAAGATGTGTAAGTATATTAGATACCTGCATATTTCACATTTAATATTTTAGAAGAAAACAAAAAGCTAGCATTAAAATTTTCTCCCTGAACATTTAGTCAAAACATACAGAACTCATCAGGCTTCCTGCAGTACAGTAAGGAAACACTTTACCTAGACCAGGACTCTTCAAGCTAAGTACCTAAATGTGGCTCTTTGTAGAAAAAAATCAATCAATCCACTAGCATTAAGAGTCTATTATAAGCAAGGCACTGTGTTATTCTCTAGGGATAAAAGCAAAAAAATAAGACAGTTCCTGCTTTCAGGAAGCTTCTAAGGGGATGACAATATGTTCATATGTTAGTAAATACAAGATATAGAGTAGCATCCTATACCAATTTCCCTTTTTTGGAAGAAAAAAACACTCCCTTGTACTTAAGGGAGGGTATGTCCCAGAAATCTGGGGAGGATAACATACATCAGTCCATGCTATTCTTCCTTAGTAAGTATCACTTTGTAAAAGTTAATGATGTTAATTGGTTTGTTGACATTGGGAAGAAATGACTACACTGTATTGGGGTGCAAGGAAAAAATTTCAATGCTTGCTCTATGTTTTTTTCTAAAATATGAAATATGTATGCATCAAATATCCTTATAATATACATCTCCCTGAACACTTAGTCAAAACATACAGAACACATCAGGTTTCCTAGAATACCGTTAAACACTTACCTAAACCAGATCTCTTCAAGCTCTCTATGTATCTAAATGTGGCTCTTTGTAGGAAAAATATATAAGCTTACAAAAGAAACCAATTATGTTGAAATACAGTCATCAAAATATTTTTTAAAAAGTTCCTGGACCATAGGTTAAAAACTTATCTAGATTATTTTAGGGATTAAGAGAATGCTCAAAAAACAATTATCAATGTCAGTCTTATTAACTGAGGAGAATATCATGAATGGTCCCCAGAGGGGCAAATATTGTTGGGTATTTTAACCTATGACTTAGATTAAATTTCATGTAAGAATACACACATACTTCACTTCACACAATTGAGGAAACTCCTAAAAACATAGGGTAAGGGGAAGAGATAAATCAAGGATAAACCTAATTTTATAATATCTCATAGATTAAAATGTTTAAAACCATGAAGATATTTTATGTTAACTTCTAATTGATCTTCAATTAGCAATAAATTTTACCTCTGACCTGTATAGGTGATAACTCCTACAAATTCACACACCAATAGAGTGTTTATATTGAACAAAAAGCTATGCTAACTGTGGTAGAAAAAATAAGAGGAGAAAGGGAAGTATCTGCTTTAAAGGAACTTCCTTCCTAGTTGTGCATAGACAAAACAGTTATTATAATAGCTAGACTAGCAGTTCTCAAAGTGTCATTTGCACACCCACGGGGCAGGGGGTCCATGAGACTCTTTCAGATGATCTTGGAAATCAAAATAATTTTCGTAGTAATTATTGTTCAGTTCTTTCAGTCGTGTCTGACTCTTCAAGACACCATTTGGGGTTTTCTTAGCAAGGAAACTGAAGTGGTTTGTCATATCCTTCTCTGGCTCATTTTACAGATGAGGAAATGAGGAAAGTGAGGCAAACAGGGTGAAATGACTTGCTTAGGGTCACACATCTAGTAAGTGTCTGAGGCCAGATTTGAACTCAGGTCTTCCTAACTCTTGGCCTAGTGCTCTATCCACAGTGCCACCTAGCTGCCCTTTCCTAATACTACTAAGATGTTATTTGCTTATTACAATGCTCCTTTCTTTTCCAACTTCATATCTACATGAAGCCAGATTTTCTTCAAACAAAACAACAGACTATAACCAACTGAATGCAGAAGTAGATAGAATAATATGGACATCACCTAGTTTAACTACCTCATTTTACAAAATAAGTAACTGATACCCAGAGGGGTGAAGTAACTTGTCCCAGTCTCACAGTAACCAGGCAAAGGCAAGACCACAACCTAGGACCCTTGACTCTCAGTTCAGTGCTCTGTCCACTGTGTCATTCTGTTAGATATACATACAAAAAATTGCATACAAAAATGCATAATAAATGATAGGGAAATGATCCATCAAAAACCTCATGAAATTCAATAGTAACATATAAATTCTGAAGAATAAAAAACAAACATCAGTCATTAAGTATAGGTACCAAAGAAAAGACTAAGATTCAAAGTGGATCACAAGTAAAATGAGTCAGCAATTTTACTTTAAGGGAGGAAAAAAAAAAGGATGCACAATTTACCTCTTTGATTCGTTTAACTAAAGCATTTTGATCAAAGGAAACAGCTTCTGCACACTGATGAAGGTGATCTTGATATCGAAGACAGAGCTGGAGAACTTGTTGAGAGTCTAGCTTCTCCAATTTGGTATTTGTGGGAGATGTCTGGCCACTCAAAAGCCCTAAAAAAAGGGGGAAAGAATTAATTGCACCAACAACAGGTTCATAGATCAGGCAGTTGTTGAACATCTGCAAAGGGAGAAAAAGTGTCATTTATTACTGCTTCTAGAATCAGACAACTCAGTTACCTCTAGATTCAAAACCAAAAGTTTTGGCAGTTGGTTTAATTTTTAATGACAAAATGGTTACCTTAGCTAATAAAGAAGAATAAATTATACAAGAAGTTGGAAGTTGATGCTAAAAACAAATTAGTAAAGAAATAAACACTCCTGAAGTTCCCTCACAGAATTCCTAGGGGTGGGAAGGGACCTCAGCAGCCCTACTGTAACATAATCATGAAGGGTTGGTCCAGCCTTTACTTAAAGACTTCCAAGGAGAGAGAACCCACCATCTCTCAAGTTGCCCATTTCACTCTTACACAGCTCTAACTGTTGGAAAGTTCTTATATTGCCTCTTCCGACTTCTACCCATTGTTCCTGTCCTAATTCTGTACTCTGAGGCCAAAAAGAACAAACCTAATTCCTCTTCCATGTGAAAGCCTTTCAAATATTTGTGACACAGAGGCTATGTCCACCCCGAGTCTTCTCTTTGCTAAGCTAAATATTCCCCATTCTTCAACCATTTGTCCTAACATGTATTCAAGATCCTTCACCATCCTGTTTTCTTTCTTGGAATCCTCTCTAGCTTTATCAAAGTTCTTAAAAATTGATGCCTAGAATTGACCTTGATACTCCAAATTAGGACTGACAAAGGCAGAGTACAGGAAGACCATCACCTCCCTATTCCTAGAAGCTGTCTCTCAATGCAGCCTGTGGTAGAAGCAATACCCTAACCTAACCTGAACCCCTGTGCAAGTTAGGCTAGTTTTTTCTTAAAAAGTCTTAGAATCATCCTAGAAACTTGATTAGCTCAGGGGACTAAAGACTCAGACTGCTCCCAACAGTAACAAACAGCCACAAGAAGCTCCAGGTACATGCTTTGTTTGGCCAGGGGACCCCCAACAGCAACACAGGAAAGGAAGCTTTACTCAGCTAAATCAACTTGTGATGTCCTACGTACAAATCCTTGTTAAATAGCCTTCTCATGCTAAGTAAATATCCGTTTGTTAACTATTACCTAAAAGGGCTCATTTCATTCTAATATTGAACATGAACTATGAGGTCATAGACCCAGGTTAGGCTCAGCATGGAACAACTGGTGTAGTTGTGCAAGAGGTGGGGGATGGGCAATGCAGAGAAAAGAAGCTTCAAGGTTTCTGGGGGTGCTTTTGGTATGCCTATACAGATAGTGGTTACTTATCATGAGGCCTCCTCCACCCCTGGGAGATTAGAGTAAAATATATATGGCAATGCAGCAAGGAAAGCCCAATGTAAAATATACTCTTTGTCCTTATGAATTGTACCTCAAAGACAATTTCAGTAAATTCTCTTTTAGACCCACCAACTGTGTTGTCCAGGGCCTTCCAACCTGATAATTTATGCTTCCTCCAAAGTTATATTATGAGATTTCCTGAAAACTTAGTTTACCTTTAAAGCAACCAGTAGGAACTGAATTTTTGGGGATTGAAAGCAACTTTCTCCCTAGTAGAAAAGGACAAATGAAGAATGAGATGTGCCCTGATCTGGCAGGGAACGGATGCCTTTGTATTGCAAATGATCATCACCAAATTGCCTCAGAGGAGGCCAATGTAAAGAAGATCGTTTCCACTTATACAGAAGTTATCCTGGCGTGTGAATGTTTGGTTTTTCGGAACAAGCAGTCTTCAGTCCTATAATTATATCTAGACATAGCAAATTAGTATGAGTGGGGTGATATGAGAGACTGAAAATGCAAGACAAGCAAGATCCCTGGAATTTTAGGGATTGTCTAACAACTGCAATGAAGAAACTATTTGAGTTTTTTGCTTGTTTCTTTGTTTTTAATTTGGCATTTGAGAGGCCAACCAGAAATGTGCCAGCGGACTTTGCTGTGATTCTTTGATGTAAGCCACTGGGGGAGGCACTTGAAAGGGCAATACTTAATTTTCCCCAGGAGCCCAGAGACCTTTCTGAAATTGTCCATCTAGAATCTGAGCCACGTCAGTTTAAACTTTCTTTTAAAAGAGAATTTCTATTCTCACTTCCAAACTGTGAACTGAAAAGTCAACTCCTGTCTCCCTCTCTGGAACTTCCAGTGAGGGGCCCCTACAGATCTTAGGGCCTAAACACACTTTCCTATCTTGTCAGAAATAACTACTATTTGTAGCTGTTTGTACTGTTACAGCAGATAGAGCACATGTACTGGCCCAGAGGAATCCCTGGTTTTGTATCTTTTTGTTTTGCTTTGTGCCATTCTCTTGGCTAGGAAGGCAGATGACCCTGAGCTGGACATTCCCAGTGTTGATGGCAGTCATGAGAGATGGAGCTATCGGGAACTCCTAGGTCCCTCAATGGAATCTCCTGCAAGGGGAGGATGGCCACTGGCAGGAAGGGGAACCCTTGACCTTATACTATGATAGACCAGACATGGCCAGTATTACTACAGCCTGTAGCTCCTGGCCCCAGCAATAGGAGGGCAGTCAGCCTTAGCAGCAGCAGTACCTCCAAAATGCCTGACAGGCACAGAAGAGCAGTGGAAATACAGGCCTGCAGGAACATTCTAAGTAGAAGGCTCTAGGGCTCAGCATAAGAGAACAAAGTCATGAGAAAAGGTTCTGCTCAGCATTGGGCAGTGGTAGCTTCTGAAAATGGCACGGGGGTGGGGGGGTAGCAGGGGCCCAGAGTAGACAATGTGATGAGACCCAGTGGCAATGGAAGCCATTGGGAAAAGATGCATGCCCCAGAAGCAATGGCTAGCAGGCCCAAGTGGGCAGAGGCCCAGGCCTAGGCCCAGGCCCACCCAGCATTAGCAATGGAGGAGCAATGAGTGAACATTAGCATGAGCAGAAGCAAGTCCACTGTAGCCTATTGCTAGTATAATCCATGGCTGACTAGCCCCTCCACATTGTTGCTAGTATAATATGTCCAAGAGGTAGCATTATTGGGAGGTGATTTGTTTTTAGGCACAAAGGAGCAGTATCTACACAAATCCTACAGAAGGGAAGAAAACCCTCAAATGGGGAAAAGACTTCCTCTTTTACAAATACTATCTCATTTTATCCTCACAACAACTCTGGGAAATCAGTGTGAGTATTATCTCCATTTTACAAATACGGAAACTGAGGCAGACAGAAGCTAAGTGACTTGTGGAGGGTCACACAGCTAGTGTTTGAGGCTGGATTTGAACTCAGGTCTTCTTGACTCCAGGTTCAGCATTTTCTCATCTGTAATCCCTAGTTGCCTCTAGGTACATGCTCATGATTGGTTGGGGAACCACAAAGGGAAACTCAGGCAAGGAAACTTCAATCAGCTGAAACTCCAGGTGTCTTCCCATGCATATCCTGATTAAATATGCTTCTCCAGTCAATGAGTCCATTAGCAGGCATTTATTAAGAGGCACAGGGAAGTACAAAGGCTTATCAAAATTTGAGAGGAATAACTACTACACTCAATGACAGAGTCGGGATGCAAGAAGATTCTGATAGCTAAGAGTACTGGACTGAATCTGATTCAATAAGATACGATTCAATAGAATAGGACTAAATGTAAAGATTCATATTTTGGTTCAAAAAAGTCAATTTCACAAGTACAAGATGGAGGAGGCATGGATAGGCAACAGTTTGTTATAAAAAAAACTCTCAGGGTTTAAGTGGTCTGCAAGCCCAATGCATCAGCAGAGTAGGATGGCTGTCAAAAAAACTAACACGATCTTAGACTGCCTTAGGAGACACGGCTCCAGGAGTAAGGAGGCAATAGTCCCCCTGCACTCTGCCATCCTCAGTCCACGTCTGGAATGTTATGTTCAGAATCACCACGTCCTTCAACGTTTAACAGAGTACTGTATGAGAAGGCAGTGAAGTACAGTGGAAAGAGCCCAGGACTAGGAAGGAATAAGGATATCTTATCTGTAAAGTAGAGATGCTACTAGCACCAGGGACAGGGTTATGATATAGGATGAAATGCAATAATGTATGCTAAAAAGGCTGTTAATCATAGATCATGTTACTTTTGTAATGATTCCTATTTTTGCAAAAAGAAGTTATCTCCCCCTAAATACACTGTAAGCTCCTGACAATGTCTTCGACTTCTATCTCTTTTGTTCCCTTAGAATAATATAGGACTATGGAAAATGTAGGCATTCAAATGTTTGTACAATATTGAATTCAAAGACTGTTCTAATAAATCCTGTTTAGGATTAGAATTTATATATTCTATATGTTGGAAATATTTCTTAATAAAAACCTTTATAAACCACTGTGTTTATAGAGAAATAGGGAAGTAGGGGGCCAGAGAGAGGAGAAGGGAACTAAAGAGAAATATTCTACAGATTCAATAAGCCATAATTTATACCTACCTCTTTGTGTAAAGTGTTGGATGGAAAAATCATCAGGGTTAGTCAGATTTTGGAAAATATTTTGCTAACCAATTCCTCTTCCTCTGAAATGTCAGGTAGAAAAAACCCTACAGTTGTTTTAACACAAAGTACAGAGCCATATGTGTGCTAAGCCTGGCTCTTACCGAGCACAATTCCTTGACTCTAGCAGGCCTATCCAATTTCTAGGCTGGAACTGTATTTTAAAAGGGGTAGGACTTACATTTTTGTAGTATAATAAGCATCACTTCTTTCCAAAACAGAATCAATCTTGTTTTGGAAAAAAGCTATTATAAAGACACAGACAAAAGAATTTGTAAAAAAAACATACTCTGGCCTGAGCTTACTCATAAAAATGATCTGAAAAACTATTAAGTGCTTTCCTTTATTTGACTAACACCGAGTACCCAATGTGCTATTCCATGGTCAATTTTACTTAAAAGAGAACACACACACACACACACACACACACACACACACACACACACATTCTGTATCCTGATGCCTTGGGAGTCTGAGGGGAGGAGGGCTCTGGAATTGCGATTTCATTAGT